CCCCCCCCCCCCCCAATTTACTAGTTTTCTCCACAGCTGTCTAGAAGACCTGTGTGGGTAAGGCAGATTTCCTACCCCCAGAGGCAAAACGCTAAAGGGAGGCAGGATTTCCCTGTGTTCATTGAACTGTGTATTTTATACGTATAAAGAATATGTACCGTAGATAATGGGAGCATGCAGACATAATTTAGAAAGTCCTGGTAAATTTGAGACCTAGTAGTGTCTCAACAATGTATGTGGGTAAAACTACTCCTAAATGCAAATGCTAATTTTAATAACTCTACACTTTCTATTATTGACTATGTAGATTCCATTACCTCCTATAGTCCCAGCCTAGATATTGTACAATAAACTTCCTCCCTTGAGGAGTGTACAGACAGAAAGCTGCGTAAGGATGGTGGGGATGAAAAGTGAGGTGAGAGGTAAAATATAAAACACTCATGATCACACACTCAGTAAGCAGCAGTGTCAAGAATAAAAACCTAAATGTCTAGGTACAAATTAGGAGGAAGCTGACATGATACAATGCAGCTATACAGTAGGTAGTACTGTATGTACACAAACACACAATAAAAGAAATGAGGCACCTGGAGCTAGGCAAATGTAACCCAGTATTTTCTTTCCTCCATTACCTCGCCCTTCTTTCTCACTATGTCTGTCTCTCTCCCCCACCCCTTCTTTTGTCCTAGTAGTTAGTTGAACATTATTCATATAAACCAGATGGCTTACAAAGAGTCCTCACAATTCCATGTCCACGAGTTGGCTCAGACAATGGTAAGTTAACTGTACTGCTATGAAATACTGAGATAGTCTTTCTAATGATGGTAGAAAGATATGTTTGTGTTCTCTCTATTAATAGAATAGGATCATAAAGACTTCCACATAGCAGTTATTTGGGTTAATAGTGAATCCAAATTCAGACTTTAATCTTTAGCTTTTCTAATTATATAACATATAGAAAAGAGCGTGGGGAGGTTGGAGAGGCACTTATAAAGGGACACATTCTAGGCTCCAATAATTGCTGAGCCAATGGCAATTAGAGCCAAATCCAAAAGAGGATTTAGGATCCTATTGTAGAATTAAGTATAATTGAAGGTACTTAACTCGAGTACAAACCTGTGGTGCTAAAATCCCACCAGGTTCCATCTAATGCTGGAGATGCCTAAACTCTATGTGTACCTCCCTGTTTGACTTCTAAGTTCCCCTTCCCCAGGTGCATAAAGTTGAGTCTCAGCACACTCCTAGAACAACACCAGTCTTCACAGGCCTGAGCAGTCCAGTGCCTACCTCATGCGTAAGCCCATTTAGGACTCAAACATTAAGCATTTCTCTTGCTAAGTCCCCTGAGAGGTTGCCCTCCTTAGAGCATGCCTGCAGCACCCCTACAAGATCAGGATCCCTACAAAATTGAATGAAAACTCCCACTTTCAGGAAGTGATGGTAATGCTACCCTCCTTTTAATTAATACCCGGTGATCAGAACGATGCATACAATTCACTCCCCTACCTGGACAGATTCAAACTCAAGTCCTCCACTTCCCAGAAGAAATCCCGCAGCCACTCGCTAAATAGACTAGTCTGAGGTTGGTAGACTGGGTTCCTGTTGAAGCTGTGCCCTTTATACAAAAAGGAATTTTCAGATTCACTGGGGCACAGTGAGGGAGGGTGAACAAGACAGCACAAGTGTACAAAATACACATGGGGGAGTCCTGGATTCTTATCTCTGCTTCCCACATTGTTTCTATACTTTGCATAAAGCAGTGATTGAATACCATATGAAAATAGTCCTTGGAGCAAGGACCAGAATTTGCCTCTGTCAGGAGTGCCATAACCACTAGACCACACAGTGAGGCTCACTCCTGTGCTGTTTCTTGCTCTTTTTGTTCTAGTGAATATTGAGGGTTTTTTCCCTATGCATCAATGGGGGTGAGAAAATGTGCTACCATCTGGGGATTTGCATCCTTTGCATAGGAAATGTGAGTTTGAATCCTTCAGGCAGACAAAGAAATTGAACCAAGATCTTCCACACCCTGCAAAAGGGCTCTGATCACTAAAGTTGTAGTAGAAGATCCTGCTGCCTCTGTATTTTAAGAAGACAAGAGTGATTCTTAAAAGTGAAGGGGTAGGTTTCTACTTTTACTGAGGGTGCAGGGCTGTGGACCCTAAGTAAACAAAGTGACCCGAGGATGGGTTTGAAGGCTCGTGTCTGCTCAGTAGTTCCCATTTGCTAGCTCTCACCCTGAACACTGAACATGTTAAATTCAGGCAGCTTCCCAATCAGCAGGTTGGCTGTTTTAAATTTAGCTCTAAACTCTCTGTGTTTTATAAAGACCAGGTTCTGGATCCCACTTTATAGGCCAGATATTTAAGTATTAAGCACTGACCCCTAGTCCCTTGCTATCATCAAGTATTCTAATTTTCTTGGGATGGTATTTCTTTCACGATCAGAGAATTGTTTGCAAGCTCTCCAAGGCCAGTAGACCAGGAAAGCATTCTATTTGAAGAGCAGAAAGACATTCTAGATAAACCCTAACAGTGGTTTAAGTAGAAGTGTGTAGTACAAGTCCCACACAGTCCCAAAACATCTTTTCTTCATCTGAAAATTAGTGTTTGTGTGGGAACTAGCACCATGTCAGCCACAACCCAGTGATTAGTGTACATTTTTAACATCTTGTAAAAGCTGCTGGAAGAAAGGGATTCACCACAGCTAGCTGACATGAGGTTAAACGCAAGACTCCTTGTCTGCACTCATGGCAGCTATATTTGGCATTATGCAAGGCAACAGGGCACTAGAATGTTGTTTCAATAAGAAGGAACTTTCCAGTGAAGAAAAGCCAGTGCAGGAGGAAGTGTTGTCTGGGTGAAGATGAGAGCTGCTATAGGGAGGAGCTGCAGTGGGACTTAGAGAAATACAGAATACAAATACAAATGAGGTTCCTGCACGTCCTCAGTAACCTTTTATGAAAATATCTCTAAGGGTAGGAATGTCTACTCTAGTGAAAAAGGTAATTGATTTTGTCCTGTAAAGAGAAAACTAAGATTAATTGGAGTTGCAGGGGTGGAGAAGGTTGAGAAGTGCCTCTCCCTTCTTCCATTGATTGCCATGGGGATGGACGGCACCCACTGGTACCCCATGTTTGACCGTCGGCCAACTACTCCATTCTGAAGCGACAAAGCATGGATTGTCATTCTGTGTCAAGGAGTCTTTTTCTGGCTGAATATCAGTCACCTGCTGAGTGGGGGTGTGTCCTAACTTTTCCCACCACCTTCTTTGGGTGCCTCACTGAGACTCTGCATATCATTTACCTCTTGTCCTAAAGCCTGACAACACTTTCAAAAAACAAAAGCAGACAAGATGGTCCTCATTTAAGTTTCTGAGTGGTAGTTACTATGTGATTTAAAAATATGTAATTAACATGAAATCCACCTTCTAAGATTTCTGTTTTTAACTCTATGTTCCCCACCTCTAATCCCCTGGTGAGAATGGCAGCAGTCTGGATGCTTACACAGTAACTATATTCAATTCCCTTATAGATGTTGTTTTTGATAACCGGCCTCCACTTCCTGGAACTCATCCTAAGGTAAGTTCAGGCAGCAGCACAGAAATAATACTTATTTTGAAGACCTCTGGTGAAAATAGTTTTATTATCTAGCATTTTAGGAAATCTAATTGCATGGATGCCACTACTGCAGTGAATTCATATTCTCTTGATTCCTATATTGAAACTACACAGAGAGAGCACGTTTCCTAAGGTCGTGTGTATTCTAGCTCACTTATTTGCTTTCCGCACTGAATAACACAGCATTTAATTCCTTGAGTTGGTTTCATATGTACAGCATTATTTGAAAATTATAATGTATCAGATGCAAAAAAACTATATTAAAAGAGCATTGAAGGCTATGTCCTACACTAGACATAACAGTAGTAAGGAGCAAAGATACTGTACTCTGTACCCTTTGTTTGGAAATTTGCTGTTAAAGCATAGGGCAGAGGGATGCTGGAGAGTTCAGATGCTGCCAGAGGACATTACATGGAAAGGCCTCCATTTAGTGCCAGTTATTCCATAGAAAACTTTCAAAAGTAGTGGAACCCTGTTAGTGTAACTCCTGCCAGATATGTGCATTAAGAGGTTCCCTGGCCTGTTAATCAAAAGTATCATCCTTTGCTTGCTAAACTTCAAAGAGGCTACTTCATTGGTATCTAAAATACTGTATTTACACAAATCCAAGACAAGGTTATTTTCCCCCATTTAACATGGGAGAAAAGCCTCTCATCTTGGACCTGAGTACAAGTTGGCACTGGGGAGTGTGCAGCTCCAACTCCAGTGCAAACCCAGAGTTAGAGTCAGAGCCACAGCAGCTGCCTGCTCTCAGCAGCCTCTGTTGCCCCCTTTTCCCCCAATACCACCACTTACTCTCTATGGCTCTGACTCTGACTCCGACCCTGCTATGAACCGGGATACAGAGCACATAGTGATTCCAGCCCTGGCCTGGCGACACAGCAGCAGCTGTGGCAGCAGCAACTTCAGCCCTGGCCCCAGAACTGGGGCCAGAGCAGCCGCTGCTGAAAGAAATAGGACTTGGACTTAGATAAAAAATAAATATAAATAGAAGTTCTAATATTTT